CCCCCAGGGGGGATGGCCACACTGCAATCCCTTCTCCTCCATTCTCCTCTCGGGATCTTGGGCACGCACGCATACGCACCCAGGGTGAGTTTAAGCCACCAGGTCCGGGACTTGAACCACAGTCGGCTACATGGGATTCCAGGGCCATAGCCATTACGTTAACTGCTGGTCCCAAGTATCCAGATTTTCTATAGTAAATATAATTTACTGATTTAAAAAATAATGGTTATTGAGGGGCCAGCAGGTAGTGTGGTAGTTAAGGTGCTGGACTCCCACATGGCTGACCATGGTTCAAGTCTTGGACCTTTCTCATGTTTCCCCCGAACCCCCCATCTCTCTCTGGTAAGTGCATGTGCCCTAGAGCAAATTAAAAATAATTAACAATAAATAAAAATTAATAAAAAATGATGGCTATTGAACGGAAAAACTTCTACTCTGAAAACTAAAAACCATCAACTACTCTCTGCAGTTCAGTTTCACTCTCATTCCCAGCACCTTAACCACCACACCACCTGCAGGGCCCCCCACACTTATATCTCAAAATGATCACTCTCGGGACCAGCAGGTGGCGTGGTGGTTAAGGGTGCTGGACTCCCAACATGGCCGACTGTGGTTTGAATCCCAGACCTGGTGGCTTGCTTTCTCACTTTCCCTCTCTCTTGAGCTCTCACTCTGCCCTTTTCTGGTCTATATATATAAATAAATAAAGAAAGAAAGAAAGAAAGAAAGAAAGTTAAATAAAAACTAATTCTTTTAAAAAAATGATCACTTTGACCACTGTGCAGAAAATGATCAACAAAGGTGGGCAAGGCCAAAATTAAAGATGTGGGAAAGTCTCTTAAGAGATAAATGCTGGGACCAGCAGTTAGCGTAATGGCTATGTCGCTGGACTCCCACGTAGGTGACCGCGGTTCATGTGCCGGACCTGGTGGCTTAACACTCACGCTAGGCACATGTGTGTGCATGCCCAAGATCCCAAGAGGAGAATGGAGGAGAAGGGATTGCAGCGTGGCCATCCCTCCTGGGGGGTGATTTCTCGCTTTCTGTCTCTCTGTCTCTCTCTGTCTTCTGTCTGTCTGGCAAGCGCACGCACCCTATAGCAAAAACCTCTCAAAAAAAAAAAAAAAAGATAAATGCAAAAGATCAAGTAAGATGATGGTGGCTTAGATGTGAATGACAAGAAAGTGGATAAAGCAGCATGAAGAAATTTTGAACGTAGGTTTGGAGGTAGAGTTGGCAGGACTTGCTTCCTGATGGAATGTATGTAAGAATAAGGGAGAGAGAGAAAAGATTTGTAGCTTGAGAAACTCAGAATACTGTTTCTGAAATAAATAAATAATAAAGGAAAGACTAGAAGAGAAACTGTTTACGAAGGCATTAGGTGAAAAATTTAAGAATTCTGTTTGGCCATGTTAAAATTAGTATATCCCTTAGTTATCTAAGTGGCAAGATCAAGCAGGCAAATGGATATATGCATCTGGAGTTCTTGAGGTCAGAGCTGGAGAGATGAGGTTTATGACTCATCACCATGAAGCTGCATATTAAAGCCATGGGACAGGGTAAGCTCACCTTGGGGGAATGAATACAGAGAAGAAAAGGAGGCCCAAGTCTGAGCCCTGGACCATTTAGATATTGAACAAAGGAGTGGCCTAGCATTAGGAAGAAAATCAGGAGAGTGTGATGTCATAACAGCCAAGTCAATAAACTGCTTCGAGGAAGAAGCGTCTATGACTAATGCTGCCAAGAGGTCAGGTAAGGTAAGAAGAGAGAAGCAGCCACTGGTTAGCAGTCCCTGTAGAGTGGTGGAGACAGAAGTCATACTAGAATGAAAAGAAAAAATTATATTCAATGAACCATTATAGAAAATTATTTCTTAGCACAAATTCAAGTGCTAAAGTATTAACTTCTTCATGTCTTTATCAGAAACTAATGCAGTACCCTCTAGATTTCTAACATAAAACATAGCATTATTTTTTCTAACAATACTAGATTGAAAAGGCAGCAAAGAACTAGATAAATCTGGATTTGATACCTTCCTCTTCCATTTTGAGCAATGGGTCTTCAGGCAAATTCTTTAATCATATTAAACATTAGTTGTCTCATCTATAAAATGGGACTAGTAATAACACCTACTTCATAAGGCTGTTGTGAGAAAAACATAATATATTACATGTAAAGTGTGTCGTACAGAGAATTACTAGTTATTACCGCTGCTATTCTTTTCATAAAACAGTCCCTTTTTAAAAAATCATGCCTTTTTAAAATTGGGCTATTTTAACCATTAAAATTTAATGTGGAGGAACCAGTAGATGGAGTAATGGTTCCATTACTGAACTCCCATGTAGTTGACCATGGTTTGAGTCCCGGACCCAGTGGCTGAAAAAAACTCACACTGGGTGCATGTGCATCTGTGTGTGTGTGCCCAAGATCCCTAGAGGAAACAGGAGGAGAATGGATTGCAATGTGGTCATCCCCCCTGGGGGGTGATTTCTCGCTCTCTGTCTCTCTCACTCTCTCGATCTCTCTGACAAGAGCACATGCCCTATAGTAAAAAACCTCCCTCTAAAAAAAAAAAAAATTTAAATGTGGAAATTGCTAATGCAGTTTTTCCTAACCTCTTTCTTTCTTTCTTTCTTTTTTTGGAGAGGTTTTTGCTATAGGGCGCGTGCACTTGCCAGACAGAGAGAGACAGAGAGACAGAAAGCGAGAAATCACCCCCAAGGCGGGATGGCCACGCTGCAATCCCTTCTCCTCCATTCTCCTCTCGGGATCTTGGGCACGCACACACGCACACGTGCCCGGCGTGAGTTTAAGCCACCGGATCCAGAACTTGAACCGCGGTCAGCTACATGGGAATCCAGCAACATAGCCATTACACTAACTGCTGGACTCAGTTTTTCCTAACCTTTTAAAGATAAAATATCTCTCTCATCTTTGTGTGTATAAAAAGTCATACTAATACTAATACCACTTAAGACATTCTGATCTATCCACACAGAAGGCACAATACGGAACTACTTTATCTCCTACATATCCTCATCAGCCAAAATTAGGTTGCATTCTACTTTTTGAAGTCTGCATTTAGAAAAATAATAAGGTTATTGGAGAGTCATATTCATTAACCTTTGGCTCTGCTATGACTTCTGCTTCATTCATAAGGAATGAATTGTATACTTCTTACTTCCTTACATTTATTTAGCCTTTTCATTTTGCTGCTACATGAAATTTAAATAGTTGCCATTCCTTAATATATATTTTCTTTTATTTCATTTTCTTTTATCCATTCAATCACATTATTTATCTTACAAAGTGAATATTTCAACAGTTGATAAAACTATAAAATATCTTCAACATATAATACCACATTTCTGTGTCCCATTAATGCTTTTTTACAAGATGTGAAGAAATCATTTAATATAATATAAAAAGATAGCTAAACAACATGTATTTAAATTAAAATAAAATATAAAAAAAATTTATATACAAAGGTTTAAATAAAATACAGATATCTCTGTCTACTCAGAACTAAACTAAAATATGGCACTAGCCAAGACGCTGAAAAGTGCTTACCGCAAAGTCAGGGTATAATCTCCCTGCATCTTTGTTGAGGCATCTCGAACCAAGAAGGTACCATCTGGCATGTCTCGTAATTTGTCATTTACCTCCTCCCTAAAGAACAGAATTATATGAAAAATGAAAAAACATAAGTGTTGATGTCTTCGCATGTTATTACCAAGGCTAGTTGGTAGGATGTTTGTCTAAGGTGATAGAATTATGGTGGTCTTCAGAGGCCATTTATCACTAGTTCCTCCCCCTAGAAAATGGTATTTATTTTTAGTGTTATGCAATCTAATTTGCTTTTTGAACTCCTTCAGATTTCTACCATCTGCAGGGGATAGTATTTCCATTAAGCCTTTAGGGCTTCTTCAGGCAGGTCTGAACTTGTAGAGTTTCAGGAAAAACCAGCAGCTGTTTAAGAAGGTTGTACTTAAGCAACAGAGGCAGCTGTTTCTGAACAAAGGGGGGAAATTCACTTAGCTCACAACCCTTTAATACAATATTCTGCAGTTTGAATTTATACAGGTAACAAAACAATTTGTTGGTTTAGAACTTCAAGAAAACAACACTAGAACACTGGAATGGCAGGGCATAAAAGACTTCTGAACTATAGTACAACCACATGATTTTAAAATGTAAGTTTAAAAAGCATTTATATAAAATAGACCTTTTCATTGTACAATACTAAGTTAAAATGTACTGACCAATTTTTTTTTTTAAGAATTATTTATTGGATGGGGCTGGCAGGTGGTATGGTGGATGGAGGCAATGGATTCCCACATGGCTGACTGTGGTTCGAGTCTCAGACCTGGCAGCTTGCTTTCTCATTTTCTCTCTCTCATTCTCTTGCTTTCTCACTCTTTCGCTCTCTCCCTCTCTGGTCACATTGAAATGAATAAATAAATATAAATATAATTAAATTTAAAAAAATAATTCTTTAAAAAATAATAATTATTTATTGGGGGACCAGCAGGTGATGCAATGTTTATGTCGCTGGACTCCCATGTAGTCAACTGCAGTTTGAGTCCTAAACCCAGTGACTTAAAATTCACAATGGGCACAAGTGCGCCCAAAATTCCAAGAGGAGAATGAAGAAGGGATTGCGGTGTGGCCATCCGCCGTGGGGGGTGATTTCTCACTTTGTCTCTCTGGTGAATGCACGCACCCTATAGCAAGAATCTCTATTTTTAAAAAAAGAATTATTTATTAGGACCAGCAGGTGGTTACATGCTGGACTTCCATGTAGCCGACCATACTTCAAGTGCTGGACCTGGCAGCTTAAAACACACCAAGTGTATGTGCATGCATGCCCAAAATCTAAGAGGAAAATGGTGGAGAAGAGATTGTGGTGTGGCCAAAACCCACCGCAGGGTTTATTTCTTGCTTTCTGTTTCTCTAGTGAGTACACACATCCTATAGCAAAAATCTCTCTCTAAAAAAAAGAATTATTTATTTAATTTTATTTATCATTATTTTAAAATTTGCCACAGGACATATGTGCTCACCAGAGAGAGACAAACTGAGAGAGAGAGAGAGAAATGAGAAAGTAAGCTGCCAGATCCGGGACTCAAACCACAATCATCCATCGCACTCCAGCACCTTAACCATCACACCACCTGCTGACATCTTTCTGATCAATTTTAATATAAAATATATTAAGTCCTATTCAAGATATTAAACAAAGAATTACTATATGGCCCAGTAATTCTACTTCTGGGTACAGTCCCAAAAGAACTGAAAGCAGGGACTCAATATTTGTATGCCAATGTCCATCAAATCCAAATATCCAGATGAATGGATAAACACAAATGTGGCATATGCAGATACATATATAGGGATATTATTCAGCCTTAAAAGGGAATGAAATTCAGACACATGCTACAACATGAATGGACCTTGAAGATGTGAAATAAGTCAGTTATAAAATGACAAATAGTATATACTCTACTTACATTAAGTACCTAGAATAGTTGAATTCACAGACACAGGAGGTAGATGGTGACAGCCAGAAACAGGGAAAGAATGTGGAGATACTGTTTAATGGGTAGCTTTGTGAAAAGTTCTGAAGATGAATGGTCGTTGGAAAATTCATACTGGGGAGAGACCTTACAAATGTACCGAGTATGGGGCCGGCAGGTGGCATGGTGGCCAAGGGTGCTGAACTCCCACATGGCTGACCATGGTTCGAGTCCTGAACCTGGCAGCTTGCTTTCTCTCTTTCTCTCTCTCTCTCTTTCTTACTCTCACTCTCATATTTTCTCACTCTGTCCCTCTCTGGTCAAATTAAAATAAATTTAAAAATAAAATAAAGTTCAATAAAATAATTATAAAAAAAAAAAAAAAGAAGTGGGGGGAAAAGAGAGGCAGGGAGGGCGCAACAGACCTCTCTCTGTCTTTCTGGCAAGCACACGCGCCCTATAGCAAAAACCTCTCCAAATAAATAAACAAATAAATAAATGAATGAATGAATAAATAAATAAGTAAATAAGTAAACAAGTAAATAAGCAAATAAATAAGTAAATAAATAAATAAATAAAAAGATGGGATTTCCCACCAAACTCTGCCAGACATCCAGGAGTCGAGAGCGAGCTTGGAGCTGCTTCCTGCTGCTGTCATGGTTCGTCTGCTAAACTGCATCATCACTGTGACCCAGAACATGGGCATCAGCAAGAACAAGGACCTACCCTGGCCTCGGCTCAGGAATGAATTTAAGTATTTCCAGAGAATGACCACAACCTCTTCAGCAGAAGGTAAACAGAATATCATGATTATGGGTAGGAAGACCTGGTTGTCCATTCCTGAAAAGAATCAGCCTTTAAAGGATAGAATTAATTTAGTTCTTAGTAGAGAACTCAAGGAACCTCCACCAGGAGCTCATTTTCTTGCCAAAAGTCTGGATGATGCCCTAAAACTTATTGAGCAACCAGAATTAACTAATCAAGTGGACATGGTCTGGCTAGTGGGAGGTAGTCCTGTTTATAAGGAAGTCATGAACCAGCCAGGCCATCTTAAACTGTTCATGACAAGGATCTTGCAGGATTTTGAAAGTGATACCTTTTTTCAAGAAATTGATTTGGAGAAATATAAACTTCTCCCAGGATACCCAGGTGTACTTTCTGATGTCCAGGAGGAGAAAGGCATTAAGTATAAGTTTGAAGTGTATGAAAAGAACGACTAATGTGAAGGTGTTTTCAAGATGTTTCCCTTCCTCTGAAAAAGTGTATATTTTTATGTAAGAAAAAAAGGCTTTTGTTGACTTCAGATCTATGGATACTAATTTCTAAGCAGTATGCTTTTATTCCCATTAATGTTAAATAGACTATATCAGATATCACTTGTGCCGTAACTATCACAGCTTCTTGCCATAGCTGTCTCAGTGCTTCTCCCCAAAAGCTGAGTCCATGGCACCTGCTTAGGGTAGCATATATGTGAGATAGCCCACAGTGGCAAGTCCCTGGGTAGCATGAGTTGACATGATACCAGGTCTCATACAGACAGAAGCTAGATAGATTAGTTCTAGAGCAGAAAAACAGAAAAACTAGAACTCAGATTTGAAAAGAAAATTAGGTCAAAATAGGAACTGTGAATACTCTGTGTACATCACATTTCTAAGTAAAGTTCTGCTCACTGAATCTTACAGAAACTTAGAAGATGGCAGTGGATGCCTTTGGGGGCTGAAAGACTCACTACAGGCAGACCAGCTTAAAATCTGAAAGTCCAATCCTTTCTTGAATTTATTTTAAAAGGAAGTTATAAATATGTCCAGGGACAAATGTAACTTTTACTAAAAATGGTCATTATTTGTGAAATTTGTGTGTGTGGGACTGGCAAGTGGCATAGTGGTTAAGGGTGCTGGACTCCCACATGGCCGACCATGGTTCGCGTCCCAGACCTAGCTGCTGGCTTTCTCACTTTTCCTTTCTCTGGCTCTGTCCCTCTCTGGTCAAAGTAAGTAAGTAAATAAATAAAGTTAAATAATTCTTAAAAAAAAAATATGAATGGTGGTGACGATTGTACAGCAATCTGGATGTAATATACTAATGTCACTGAACTATATACTTTAAATAGTTTAAATGGTAATGGTTTAAAAAAAATGAAATTGGGGTCAGCAAGTGACATGTTGGTTAAGGTGCTGGACTCCCACATAGCCAACTGAGGTTTAAGTCTTGAACCTGGAGACTTGAAAAATCACACAGGGCACAAGTACATGCATGCCAAAAATCCCAGGAAGAGAATGGAGAAGAAGGGAATGCAGCACGGCCATCACCCCTGGGGGGGGGGGGGGACTTCTCACTTTCCCTTTTACTGTCTCTCTCTGTCTTTCTGGTTTCTTTATTTTTTCTTTTTAAGAAAGGTTTTTGCTATAGGGCATGTGCACTCACTGGAGAGAAAGAGATACAGAGAAACAGAAATCGCCCCCCAAGGGGATGGCCATGCCATCATCCCTTCTCCTCTGGCCTCCTCTCAGGATTTTGAGCATGCACACACATGAGCCCAGCGTGAGTTTTAAGCCACTGGGTCTAGGACTCAAACTGCAGTCGACTACATGGGAGTCCAGCGATGTAACCATTTCATCATCTGCTGATCCCCCTTTCTGTATTTCCAGTGTGCCCTACGGCAAAAAAAACTTAAAAAAAATGAAATGAATACTACTTTGGTAATGAGAAGAACAGAGAAGAGAGGGAAGGACAAGTGTAGTAAAGAGTAACAGCAACAACCTTGAACCAAATGTGGCAGAAGTGGAGAGGGCTTTTTAAAATCCATTCATTCATTCATTCATTCATTCATTTAAGTTTGACTAGACAGAGGCATAGAGAGAAAAAGAGGGAAAGTGAGAAAGTAAGCCACCAGGTCTAGGACTCAAACCATGGTTGACCATGTGAGAGTGTCCAGAGCCTTAACCACCATACCACCTGCTGACCCCCAGGTTTGTTTGTTTAATTTAAAAAATTATTTATTTAATTTTATTTAGTATTATTATTATTTTATTTGACCAGAGAAACAGAGAGAAGGAGGTAAGTGAGAAAGCAAGCTGCCAGGTCCAGGACATGAACTGTGATCAGCCATGTGGGAGTCTAGTGCCCTAATCACCATGGCACCTGCCGGCCCCAAAATAGGGTGTGTGTGTGTGTGTGTGTGTGTGTGTGTGTGTGTGTTTAAAGAAAAAAGAAGAAAAGGAAAGAAAAAGGAAATACATTTGAGAGTCATTAAAACAAAATTTAATGAGAAAAAAATTTTTTCTAATAAAACGATAAGAAAATATATATTCAAATTAAAGTGTGTGTGTGTGTGTGTGTGTCAGGAGGCAACAGATGGCATGGTGGTTAAGGTGCTGGATTCCCACATGGCCGATACTAGTTCAAGTCCTGGACTGGCAACTTGAAAATCACACCAATACGTGGGTGTGCATGTCCAAAATCCAGAGATGAGAAGGGATTGCAGTGTGGCTATCCCTCACTGGGGGTGATTTATCACTTTCCCTCTCACTGTCTCTCTCTGTCTGTCTCTGGTGAGCATATGTACCCTATGGTACAAAACCTTAAAAAAATTAAAAATTAAAAAAAGAAAAATATATTTTTGCACCAAAATAAGCCCACACTTTTAATTCCACTTTTCCACAAACTTTTTAAGTACCTGCATGTTTGCATGTATATGTATGTGTCTGTATTTACACACACAGATGTATATGTGTGTATACATATGTATATGCATGAATGTATGTTTGTGTATATACATATTTTTCCCTCTCTAGGTCCAAAATTATCTCGAATCACATTTTATCCAAAAAGTAATCTCTCCTAGAGCCTCGTTTTTCCAAGTGAGATATGTAAAGAGTCTGAATCAAAATCACCTAGTGGGGTTAGTAAAGGCAGATTCCTAGGCTCTACCTAACTGAGTTTTGTGTACACAAAGATTTTGGAGCCACTGCCTTAGAAAAAGAAAAGGAAGGAAAGTTATGTAAAAGTACTTTTTAATCTAAAACACATGCAACTATCCTAAATGTGTAAGTTTCATTTATTCAGAAATCCATCCTCAATATAGCATTAAAAGTAATAATCATAGCCATTATATAAAGATTTTGTCACTTCTCCACAGGAAGAAAAGTACTAAGACACCTTTGAAAAGCTCCCACACACAATTTTTAAAATGGTAACCTTGAAATGACGAGTAGTGGGGCATTAAATGTTTTATTTTAACTACGAATTCTCAATTAAAAACAAAAAACACAATTGTATTAGCATTCTAGTTACCTTGAAATATCTCCCCAGTACCATTCTGCATCCTGAAGAGAAACAGAATTCTCCTTCATTCCATTTGAAACTGCTGAAGTCATTGGCTTAGGTGGCTTTGGTGGAAGAGCTAGAAGAGAAATAAATATTATTTTGTAAACATAAATTATGTGTTTTTTAATTTCATCAGTAAGAGCAGCTCGTTAATTAATGTACATTATGAGTCAAATAATTATCAATCAAATTAAGTTTTATTTCATGTTAATCATTAGCCAAAGGAGAAATCCTTTTAAAATTCTAGTAATTGCCTGAAAAGTGACAATTTCAATTTATGTTGGCCTTTTTCCTTTTTGTAAAATACTGACTTCAGTAAAATTTCTTTTTCTCTCAAAAGTCAATGTGAAGCCCCTTCCCAAATAAGTCAGCCCAAAAGCCATTAAGTGACTAATGTATAGGATGAAGATAGTTAATAATATCATTTTATATACTGGTAATTTGCCAAAAGAATAGATTTTAGGTACTTTTAACATAAATACACACACACATATGCAAACATACAAGAGATATGGACGAGTGTGTTAATTTGCTTGCCTGTAATAATCACTTTATTATAGGTATATGTACATCAAGGTAAGTAAATAAAACATCGTTCTGTATATATGACATATATACAGTTTTTCTTACACCATTAAGTGAGACTGGGCAACTGAAGAGTGTGATGGCCAAGAGTTGGATACTGGAGCCCGAGCAGACAACAGACTGTCCACATAGAAGGGGGCGGCATAGCACAGATCTCAGAGCTTGGGCAGGATAAAGGTCCTCACCAGGGCAGCCTGGCATGGTGCTGAAACTGAGTGAAGTAAGAAGGGCAATGGCACAGGGACAGCGTGACAGCATGGTGGAGACTCCTATCATTTGAATTTCCCTACCAAAACTCATGTTGAAGCTTAATCCTCATTTTAACAATAGTAATAGGCAGGGATCTTTGAGAGATGATTAGACCATGAGGGCTCTTCCCTTGTGGATGGATTAACACCAAAATCACAGGAACGGGTTAGTTATTGAAGGAGGTCACTCATTTCCACCTTCTGTCCTTCCACTATGGGATGGACCCTAGCCAGATGCTGGTGCCACATTCCTGGCCTTCCCAATCTCTAGAACTGTGAGAAATTCCCTTTCTTTATAAATTACATAGTCTCTGGTTAGAGCAGCAGAATAAGGATGACGAGAACAAGCTTATGAAGACACATTCTCTGAGGTGGGCATCTTGATGCAGTGAGGCAAAGTTAGGACTAAACACATTTCCATTTAAGCAGTAGTTGGAGAGTAGTAAGAGAAAAGCAACAATAGCTCTGAGAGATTGAGTACATACAGAGGAATAGATTAAGTAGGTAAAACTATTAAAGATAATAGGAGCAAGATTTCTCAGTCTGAAAAGAAAAACAAGAAGTAGGACCAGCAAGTGGTGTGATGGTTAAAGTCCTGGATCTCACGTAGCCAACTGCACAGTTTGAGTCCCAGATCCAGTGGCTTAAAAATCCTGTTAGGTATGTATGTGTGCATGCCCAAGAGGAGAGACTGCAGTATGGCCTCCCCCTGCCCCCTGCTGTGAAAGGTGATTTCTCACTTTCCCTCTCTCTCCATCTCTCTCTGGCAAGTGCATGCATCCTACAGCAGAAACTAAAAACAAAACCTGGAAATAACTGTCTGGTGTTAGACTGGAATAGTGGTTATTGATATGAACTCATGAACATCGATATATGTCTAAATAAATAAATATGGATGCACGTATTGTATATAGACAGAATACATATATTTCCTAGTTCTGTTCCCTGAGAGGACCTGAAGCACTAACACCCTAGGGTGTACTTGAACCCAGATCTGATCTCTAATGCCATTTCCTACTACAAGGAATCTGGGCTCTTTGGACAAATGGCTTATTCCAAAGCTGGAGTACAGTAGGTATCTAGAACATCGTGTTTGCCAAAAAGAAAGCTCAAAGGGGCTCCCACTGCCTAAATCAGAGCATCAATATAAATACTGACAGTAAGGAAATACAAATCATTAAACAAAATAGGAGTCTACATGTCCATGCAGATACAAATAAATGAAAAAATATGAAAAATTGATGAGAAACAACCTCAAAGTACCTTCCCACAAAATGACAATTTTTAAAGAATTATTGTTTTAAATTTTACTCATTATTATGTTTTTATGTTTTTTGTTTGTTTGTTTTTTTCATTCTGACCAGAGAGAGTAAAGGGAAGTGAGAAAGCAAGTCCTGGTGAGGTCCAGGACTCAAACTGCACTCAGTCACGTAGCAGTCCAGTGCCTTAACCACCATCCCATCTGCCAGCCTCCCCAAAATGACTATTAATCACAAAAGAAAAAAATAATTTAGGCGCTGTTCTTTCCGCCCCAGTAGTCACTAGAGAGCCGCAGCCATGGCTCTGTGGTACCCCATGGCCGTGGGCCTCAACAAGGGCCACACAGTGACCAAGAACGTGAGCAAGCCGAGGCACAGCAGCCGCCGCGGGCGCCTCACCAAGCACACCAAGTTCGTGCGCGACATGATCCGGGAGGTGTGCGGCTTCGCCCCCTACGAGCGGTGCGCCATGGAGCTGCTCAAGGTGTCCAAGGACAAGCGCGCGCTCAAGTTCATCAAGAAGCGGGTGGGCACGCACATCCGCGCCAAGAGGAAGCATGAGATGAGGAGCTGAACGACATGCTGGCCGCCATGCGCAAAGCGGCCGCCAAGGACTGAGCCTGCCGCCCAATAAAGCCCACCCCGCCCCGACAAAAAAAAATTAATAATAATAATAATAATAATAATTTAATAGAAGTTTGGCAACCACCATTTTGATCAAGTAAACAAAGTTAGTATCACAAGTATGAGAGCACTTCAAAAAATTCATGGAAAATTAGAATTAAACTGAGTTTATTTTGGTCTAAAATTTTTTTTGAAATCTATGCCGAGTCTTTTCAAAACATAAGATTTCCCAAGACAGCTCCATGGCTCCTGCCATCTAGCCATTTGGGGAGAAAGGACGATGTCCCACTGATAACTGGGCCTCCAGCATCCAAAACTCGCGTGAACAGCCCTTCTTCAAGAGACAGACAGCTCCATGGCTCCTGCGATCTAGCCATTTCTAATTTTTGAGTTTTATTGAAATTTTTTGAATATTAATTTTTCTTTTGAGATTTATTTAAAAGTTTTTCTCTTCTTTTTCACTGTTTCTTGTCTGTTCTTTTGCTGTTGGTATTGTTTCCCTCTCTTTGCTTCTTTTTCTGCACACTCCTCGACCCTCTGATTGAACTTCCAAGTTTGGGAAGAAACCGACCATCCACCAGATGACTAGAAATCGCTGCAGGACCACAAGAAATATGGGGAAGCAGGAAAATACCTCTCCCACAAGGGAAAAGGATAGCTCCTCTTTATCCACACACAGTTCAATGGAAATCATGGAAATGTCTGATAAAGAATTCAGAACATTCATAATGGCAAAGCTAACAGAGATGGAAGAGAAGAGAGACAAGGAACTGCTGAAGAGGAAGGAGAAAGGAGTTGAAGAGTTCCAGGAGGTGAGGAAATTCATGCTAGATCTAAAAGAGGAATTTCACACTTTACAAAAGAATCAGATGGAACTGTTAGAGATGAAGGCTATAATACAAGAAGTCAAAATCTCCCTTGAAAGTATTAAAAGCAGACTAGATCATACAGAAAATAGAATCTCTAATGTAGAAGAGAAAATGGTTGGCCTAGAAAAATCCCACCACGGGGAACCAGCAGTTAGCGTAATGGCTATGTCGCTGGACTCCCACATAGTCGACCGCGGTTCGTGTCCCGGACCCGGTGGCTTAAAACTCACGCCAGGCGCGTGTGTGTGCGTGCCCAAGATCCCGAGAGGAGAATGGAGGAGAAGGGATCTAAGACTGGCAAGAGAAAAAAGGCAAGTTACCTACAAAGGGTATCCCATCAGACTAACGGCAGACCTCTCATCGGAAACAATGAGAGCGAGGAGAGAATGGGAAAATGTATTCAAAGTATTAAGGGAAAAGCAATTTCAACCGAGAATTCTGTACCCAGCAAGGTTATCGTTCATTTGGGAAGAAAAGACACGAACTTTCCCAGATAAACAAAACCTGAAAGAATTTACCAGCACCAGACCGGATCTCCAAGAAGTTCTTAAGGGAGTGCTATGTCAGTAAAATTAAATGCAGACACACAGAAATAAGAGTTCAGAAACTAAGAAAATGGGCAACTTAATTGTAGGGCCAAAAGCTGGAGTTGAGTATTACATCCCAGATTTCAATCTGGAACATCGAACCTCAACAGATACAGAAGAAAGATTAAGTACATGAGACTGAACTGATGAAACAGTATTCTACGACTTGACTAAAATATTGCTGCTTTTCTTCTAAGCTTTGTTGTCCGGTTTTAAGGATTTTTGTCCTGTCTTCAGCTATCAATAGATTCATGTTCCGACTATTTGAACAGAATACTAACCTGTTTCTAGGCTTTAAGTTTCAAAGAAATATCCTTACCAGTTCAAAACTGCTTTTCTTGAAACCATCGGCTGATCTTGCTATTGAAAGTAGTTAGATTACTTATGATATTGTGTGATCAACGAAATGTTGGGGGAAAAGGGATTGAAGACAACTGTAGACAGCAGAGATAGTGTAATAAGAGAGTGGAATAGGGCAGAGGGCTAGACAGGGGTAAAAAACATATATATGAAAGTAGAAATGGAATATTATGGATGATAACATGCATTATTAAGCCACTATGCAGTATATTCTAGATGGGAAACCACATTTAGAATGTTGTGATGATGCTCAGGGAATGAATGTAAATTAATAAAAAAATTTTTCAGAAGAAAAAAAAAGGCATTAAAAATACCTATTTGATGACTGCAGTTAAGCTATATAGCCCTAGTTAGGTGCTACTTTATAGTATGTTCATTCTATTCACTGAGGTTTATGCCTAAAGTCAGACTTGTGTTCATGGATATGTACATATCAGCTGTGCTTGCTATTGAAAATATTTATATTTATTAAGATATTTAGTGAAACAATAAAATGGGGGAGGCATAGAAAGCAACAATAGATACCAGACACAGTGTGGGAGGA